CCCCAACCCCCTCCAGGATACCCCAGACCCCATTTGGATCCCACTGACCCCATTCCGAAACCACTTGACCCCACTTGGAGACCCCTGACCCCATTTGGAGACCCCAGACCCCATTTGGATCCCACTGACCCCATTCCGAAACCACTTGACCCCATTTGGAGACCCCAGACCCCATTTGGAGACCCCAGACCCAATTTGGATCCCACTGACCCCATTCCGAAACCACTTGACCCCATTTGGAGACTCCTGACCCCATTTGGAGACCCCAGACCCCATTTGGAGACCCCAGACCCCATTTGGATCCCACTGACCCCATTCCAAAACTACTTGACCCCATTTGGAGACCCCAGACCCCATTTGGGAACCCCCAGACCCCATTTGGATACCACCAACCCCAACCGGAGACCTCTTGATCCCGCTTGGAGACCCCAACCCCACCTGGAGACCCCAGGACCCAACTGGAGACCCCCAACCCCCACTGGGACCCCCGAACCCCACTGGCAGACCCCCAGACCCCATTCAGACACCCCCAGACCCACTTGCAGACACCCCGACCCCATTCACAGACCCCAACCCCCATCAGCAGACCCCCAGACCCCATTCGGACAACCCCGGACCCAATAGGGAGACCCCAGACCCAATTTGGATACCACCAACCCCATCCGGAGACCTCTTGACCCCCTTTGGAGACCCCAACCCCACCTGGAGACCCCAGGACCCAACTGGAGACCCCCAACCCCCATCAGGAGACCCCCAACCCCCTCCAGGATACCCCAGACCCCATTTGGATCCCACTGACCCCATTCAGAAACCACTTGACCCCATTTGGAGACCCAGACCCCATTTGGTGACCCCAGACCCCATTTGGAGACCCCAGACCCCATTCCGAAACCACTTGACCCCACTTGCAGACCCCCAACCCCACCTGCAGACCCCACTGGCAGACCCCCAGCCCCCATTCAGGCACCCCCAGACCCACTTGGAGACACCCCGGCCCCATTCACAGACCCCAACCCCACCGGCAGACCCCCAGACCCCATTCGGACAACCCTGGACCCAATTGGGAGACCCCAGACCCAATTTGAACACCACCAACCCCATCCAAAGACCTCTCGACCCTGCTTGGAGACCCCAACCCCACCTGGAGACCCCAGACCCAACTGGAGACCCCCAACCCCCATCAGGAGACCCCCAACCCCCTCCAGGATACCCCAGACCCCTTTTGGATCCCACTGACCCCATTCCGAAACCACTTGACCCCATTTGGAGACTCCTGACCCCATTTGGAGACCCCAGACCCCATTTGGAGACCCCAGACCCCATTTGGAAACCACTTGACCCCACTTGCAGACCCCCAACCCCACCTGCAGACCCCATCAGCAGACCCCCAGCCCCATTCAGGCACCCCCAGACCCACTTGGAGACACCCCGACCCCATTCACAGACCCCAACCCCACCGGCAGACCCCCAGCCCCCATTCAGACAACCCTGGACCCAATTGGGAGACCCCAGACCCAATTTGGACACCACCAACCCCATCCAAAGACCTCTTGACCCCCCTTGGAGACCCCAACCCCACCTGGAGACCCCAGACCCAACTGGAGACCCCCGACCCCCATCAGGAGACCCCCAACCCCCTCCAGGATACCCCAGACCCCATTTGGATCCCACTGACCCCATTCCGAAACCACTTGACCCCATTTGGAGACTCCTGACCCCATTTGGAACCCCCAGACCCAATTTGGACACCACCAACCCCCATCCAAAGACCTCTTGACCCCCCTTGGAGACCCCAACCCCACCTGGAGACCCCAGGACCCAACTGGAGACCCCCGACCCCCATCAGCAGACCCCCAGACCCCATTCAGACACCCCCAGACCCCATTGGGAGACCCCAGACCCCATTTGGACACCACCAACCCCATCCAAAGACCTCTTGACCCCCCTTGGAGACCCCCCAACCCCACCTGGAGACCCCAGACCCAACTGGAGACCCCCGACCCCCATCAGGAGACCCCCGACCCCCATCAGCAGACCCCCAGCCCCATTCAGGCACCCCCAGACCCACTTGGAGACACCCCGACCGCATTCACAGACCCCAACCCCACCGGCAGACCCCCAGACCCCATTCGGACAACCCTGGACCCAATAGGGAGACCCCAGACCCAATTTGGACACCACCAACCCCATCCAAAGACCTCTCGACCCTGCTTGGAGACCCCAACCCCACCTGGAGACCCCAGACCCAACTGGAGACCCCCAACCCCCATCAGGAGACCCCCAACCCCCTCCAGGATACCCCAGACCCCATTTGGATCCCACTGACCCCATTCCGAAACCACTTGACCCCACTTGGAGACCCCTGACCCCATTTGGAGACCCCAGACCCCATTTGGATCCCAGTGACCCCATTCCGAAACCACTTGACCCCATTTGGAGACCCCAGACCCCATTTGGAGACCCCAGACCCAATTTGGATCCCACTGACCCCATTCCGAAACCACTTGACCCCATTTGGAGACTCCTGACCCCATTTGGAGACCCCAGACCCCATTTGGAGACCCCAGACCCCATTTGGATCCCACTGACCCCATTCCAAAACTACTTGACCCCATTTGGAGACCCCAGACCCCATTTGGGAACCCCCAGACCCCATTTGGATACCACCAACCCCAACCGGAGACCTCTTGATCCCGCTTGGAGACCCCAACCCCACCTGGAGACCCCAGGACCCAACTGGAGACCCCCAACCCCCACTGGGACCCCCGAACCCCACTGGCAGACCCCCAGACCCCATTCAGACACCCCCAGACCCACTTGCAGACACCCCGACCCCATTCACAGACCCCAACCCCCATCAGCAGACCCCCAGACCCCATTCGGACAACCCCGGACCCAATAGGGAGACCCCAGACCCAATTTGGACACCACCAACCCCATCCAAAGACCTCTTGACCCCCTTTGGAGACCCCAACCCCACCTGGAGACCCCAGGACCCAACTGGAGACCCCCAACCCCCATCAGGAGACCCCCAACCCCCTCCAGGATACCCCAGACCCCATTTGGATCCCACTGACCCCATTCCGAAACCACTTGACCCCACTTGGAGACCCCTGACCCCACTTGGAGACCCCAGACCCCATTTGGAGACCCCAGACCCCATCACGAAACCACTTGACCCCACTTGCAGACCCCCAGCCCCTACTGGCAGAACCCCAGCCCCATTCAGGCACCCCCAGACCCACTTGGAGACACCCCGACCCCATTCACAGACCCCAACCCCACCGGCAGACCCCCAGACCCCATTCGGACAACCCTGGACCCAATTGGGAGACCCCAGACTCAATTTGGACACCACCAACCCCATCCGGAGACCTCTTGACCCCCCTTGGAGACCCCAACCCCACCTGGAGACCCCAGACCCAACTGGAGACCCCCAACCCCCATCAGGAGACCCCCAACCCCCTCCAGGATACCCCAGACCCCATTTGGATCCCACTGACCCCATTCAGAAACCACTTGACCCCATTTGGAGACTCCTGACCCCATTTGGAGACCCCAGACCCCATTTGGAGACCCCAGACCACATTCCGAAACCACTTGACCCCACTTGCAGACCCCCAACCCCACCTGCAGACCCTACTGGCAGACCCCCAGCCCCATTCAGGCACCCCCAGACCCACTTGGAGACACCCCGACCCCATTCACAGACCCCAACCCCACCGGCAGACCCCCAGACCCCATTCGGACAACCCTGGACCCAATTGGGAGACCCCAGACCCAATTTGGATACCACCAACCCCATCCAAAGACCTCTTAGCCCCGCTTGGAGACCCCAACCCCACCTGGAGACCCCAGACCCAACTGGAGACCCCCGACCCCCATCAGGAGACCCCCAACCCCCTCCAGGATACCCCAGACCCCATTTGGATCCCACTGACCCCATTCAGAAACCACTTGACCCCATTTGGAGACTCCTGACCCCATTTGGAGACCCCAGACCCCATTTGGAGACCCCTGACCCCATTCCGAAACCACTTGACCCCACTTGCAGACCCCCAATCCCACCTGCAGACCCTACTGGCAGACCCCCAGCCCCATTCAGGCACCCCCAGACCCACTTGGAGACACCCCGACCCCATTCACAGACCCCAACCCCCACCAGGAGACCCCCAGACCCCATTCAGACACCCCCAGACCCCATTGGGAGACCCCAGACCCAATTTGGATACCACCAACCCCATCCGGAGACCTCTTGACCCCCTTTGGAGACCCCAACCCCACCTGGAGACCCCAGGACCCAACTGGAGACCCCCGACCCCCATCAGGAGACCCCCAACCCCCTCCAGGATACCCCAGACCCCATTTGGATCCCACTGACCCCATTCCAAAACCACTTGACCCCATTTGGAGACTCCTGACCCCATTTGGAGACCCCAGACCCCATTTGGATCCCACTGACCCCCATTCAGAAACCACTTGACCCCACTTGGAGACCCCTGACCCCACTTGGAGACCCCAGACCCCATTTGGAGACCCCTGACCCCATCACGAAACCACTTGACCCCACTTGCAGACCCCCAGCCCCTACTGGCAGACCCCCAGCCCCATTCAGGCACCCCCAGACCCACTTGGAGACACCCCGACCCCATTCACAGACCCCAACCCCACCGGCAGACCCCCAGACCCCATTCGGACAACCCTGGACCCAATTGGGAGACCCCAGACTCAATTTGGACACCACCAACCCCATCCGGAGACCTCTTGACCCCCCTTGGAGACCCCAACCCCACCTGGAGACCCCAGGACCCAACTGGAGACCCCCGACCCCCATCAGCAGACCCCCAGTCCCATTCAGGCACCCCCAGACCCCATTTGGTGACACCCCGACCCCATTCACAGACCCCAACCCCATCAGCAGACCCCCAGCCCCCATTGAGAGATCCCCAACCCCACTCGGAGACCCCCGGCCCCACGGGGGCCCCCATCCGGCCGCCCACCCTGACGACGTGGATGCGGCCGCGCAGCTCCTGCAGGGTGCCGTAAAAATGCCGCACGGCGTCGCCAAACTCCGCGCTGCCCTCGGCCAACGGCAGCAGCCGCACCGCATCCGCTGCACCCACCGCATCCGGGCCTGGGGGCGAGGGGGGCAGCGGGGTCAGCGGGGGGGTGGGGTCAGGGGGGTCAGAGGGGTCTGTGGGGTCAGGGGGGTCAGCGGGGGTCAGTGGGGTCAGGGGGGTTGGGGTCAGAGGGGTCTGTGGGGTCAGAGGGGTCAGCAGGGTCAGGGGGGTCAGCGGGGGTCAGTGGGGTCAGTGGGGGGGTGGGGTCAGAGGGGTCAGTGGGGTCAGAGGGGTCAGCGGGGGTCAGTGGGGTCAGGGGGGTTGGGGTCAGAGGGGTCTGTGGGGTCAGGGGGGTCAGCGGGGGTCAGTGGGGTCAGTGGGGGGGTGGGGTCAGGGGGGTCAGAAAGGTCAGTGGGGTCAGATGGGTGAGTGGGGGGGTGGGGTCAGAGGGGTCAGTGGGGTCAGTGGGGTCAGGGGGGTCAGTGGGGTCAGTGGGGTCAGGGGTCAGTGGGGTCAGTGGGGTCAGAGGGGTCAGTGGGGGTCAGTGGGGTCAGCGGGGGGGCAGGGTCAGGGGGGTCAGGGGGGTCAGAAAGGTCAGTGGGGGGTAGGGTCACAGAGGTCAGTGGGGTCAGTGGGGTCAGGGGGGTCAGTGGGGTCAGGGGTCAGTGGGGTCAGTGGGGTCAGAGGGGTCAGTGGGGGTCAGGGGGGTCAGCGGGGGGGCGGGGTCAGGGGGGTCAGAGGGGTCAGAAAGGTCAGTGGGGGGTAGGGTCACAGAGGTCAGTGGGGTCAGAGGGGTCAGGGGGGTCAGTGGGGGGGTGGGGTCAGGGGGGTCAGAGGGGTCTGGGGGGTCAGAGGGGTCAGTAGGGTCAGGGGGGTCAGCGGGGGTCAGTGGGGACGGGGGGGTGGGGTCAGAGGGGTCAGAGGGGTCAGTGGGGGGGTGGGGTCAGAGGGGGTCAGCGGGGTCAGAGGAGTCAGAGGTCAGTGGGGTCAGAGGGGTCAGAGGGGTCAGTGAGGGGGTGGAGTCAGAAGGAGGTGGGGTCAGTTGGGGTGAGGTCAGAGGGGTCAGTGGGGTCAGAGCGGTCAGTGGGGGGGCGGGGTCAGGGGGGTCAGACAGGGGGTGGGGTCAGAGGGGTCAGATTGGTCAGGGAGGTCAGAGGGGTCAGAAAGGTCAGTGGGGTCAGGGGGGTCAGTGGGGGGGTGGGTCAGAGGGGGTCAGTGGGGTCAGAGGGGTCAGTGGGGTCAGAGGGGTCAGGGGGGTCAGAGGGATCAGTGGGGTCAGAGGGATCAGTGGGGGGGCGGGGTCAGGGGGGTCAGGGGGGTCAGAGGGGTCAGGGGGGTCAGACGGGGGTGGGGTCAGAGGGGTCAGATTGGTCAGCGGGGTCAGAGGGGTCAGAAAGGTCAGTGGGGTCAGAGGTCAGTGGGGTCAGAGGGGTCAGTGGGGGGGTGGGTCAGAGGGGGTCAGCGGGGTAAGAGGGGTCAGGGGGGTCAGTGGGGTCAGAGGGGTCAGGGGGGTCTGTGGGGTCAGAGGGGGGTAGGGTCACAGAGGTCAGTGGGGTCAGAGGGGTCAGTGAGGGGGTGGGGTCAGGGGGGTCAGTGGGGTCGGGGGTCGGTGGGGTCAGTGGGGTCAGTGGGGTCAGAAAGGTCAGAGGGGTCAGAGAGCTCAGAAAGGTAAGTGGGGTCAGAGGGGTCAGCGGGGGGGTGGGTCAGAGGGGTCAGAGGGGTCAGAGGGGGGATGGGGTCAGTGGGGTCAGGGGGGTCAGTGGGGGGTAGGGTCAGAGAGGTCAGAAAGGTCAGTGGGGTCAGAGGGGTCAAAAGGTCAGTGGGGTCAGAGGGGTCAGTGCGGGGGTGGGTCAGTGGGGTCAGTGAGAAGTGGGGTCATAGGGGTCAGAGGGGTCAGGGGTGTCAGTGGGGGGGTGCGTCAGAGAAGATCAGTGGGGTCAGTGGGGTCAGAGGTCAGTGGGGTCAGAGGGGTCAGCGGGGGTGGGGTCAGAGGGGGTCAGCGGGGTCAGAGGAGTCAGAGGTCAGTGGGGTCAGAGGGGTCAGAGGGGTCAGTGGGGTCGGGGGTCGGTGGGGTCAGAGGGGTCAGAGGGGTCAGTGAGGGGGTGGGGTCAGAAGGAGGTGGGGTCAGTTGGGGTGAGGTCAGAGGGGTCAGTGGGGTCAGAGGGATCAGTGGGGGGGCGGGGTCAGGGGGGTCAGACAGGGGGTGGGGTCAGAAGGGTCAGTGGGGTCGGGGGTCAGTGGGGTCAGAGGGGTCAGAGGGGTCAGAGGGGTCAGAGGGGTCAGTGGGGGGGCGGGGTCAGGGGGGTCAGAAAGGTCAGTGGGGTCAGAGGGGTCAGATTGGTCAGCGAGGTCAGAGGGGTCAGAAAGGTCAGTGGGGTCAGGGGGGTCAGTGGGGGGGTGGGTCAGAGGGGGTCAGTGGGGTCAGAGGGGTCAGGGGGGTCAGAGGGGTCAGGGGGGTCAGAGGGGGTCAGCGGGGTCAGAGGGGTCAGGGGGGTCAGAAAGGTCAGTGGGGTCAGAGGGGGTCAGCGGGGTCAGAGGGGTCAAGGGGGTCAGACAGTGGGTGGAGTCAGAGGGGCTCAGGGGAGTCAAAGGGGGGTGGAGTCAGTGGGGTCATAGGTCAGTGGGGTCAGAGGGGTCAGTGCGGGGGTGGGTCAGTGGGGTCAGTGGAGAAGTAGGGTCAGAGGGGTCAGAGGGGTCAGTGGGGTCAGAGGTCAGTGGGGGGTGGAGTCAGAGGGGTCAGAGGGGTCAAGGGGGGCAGAGGGGGTCAGTGGGGTCAGTGGGGGGGTGCGTCAGAGAAGATCAGTGGGGTCAGTGGGGTCAGAGGTCAGTGGGGTCAGAGGGGTCAGTGGGGGGGTGGGTCAAAGGGGGTCAGTGGGGTCAGAGGGGTCAGAGGGGTCAGTGGGGTGGGGGTGGGATCAGTGGGGTCAGAGGGGTGGCATGGGATCAGTGGGGTCAGGGGTCAGTGGGGTGGGATGGGATCAGACCGGATGGGATGGGGTGGGATGGGGTGGGATGGGGTGGGATTGGGATGGGATGGGATGGGGTGGGATGGGATGGGGTGGGATGGGATGGGATGGGATGGGGTGGGATGGGATGGGATGGGATGGGATGGAGTGGGATGGGATGGGGTGGGATTGGGATGGGATGGGGTGGGATGGGATGGGATGGGATGGGATGGGATGGGATGGGGATGGGATGGGGTGGGATGGGATGGGATGGGATGGAGTGGGATGGGATGGGGTGGGATTGGGATGGGATGGGATGGGATGGGGTGGGGTGGGATGGGATGTGATGGGATGGGATGGGATGGGGTGGGATTGGGATGGGATGGGGTGGGATGGGGTGGGGTGGGATGGGATGAGATGGGATGGGATGGGGTGGGATGGGATTGGGATGGGATGGGATGGGATGGGATGGGATGGGATGGGATGGGATGGGATGGGATGGGGTGGGATGGGGTGGGATGGGGATGGGATGGGGTGGGATGGGATGGGATGAGATGGGATGGGGTGGGATGGGATGGGATGGGATGGGGATGGGATGGGGTGGGATTGGGATGGGATGGGATGGGATGGGATGGGATGGGATGGGATGGGGTGGGATGGGATGGGGATGGGATGGGGTGGGATTGGGATGGGATGGGATGGGGTGGGATGGGATGGGATGGGATGGGATGGGATGGGGTGGGATTGGGATGGGATGGGATGGGATGGGATGGGGTGGGATTGGGATGGGATGGGGTGGGATGGGATGGGATGGGGATGGGATGGGATGGGATGGGGTGGGATGGGATGGGATGGGGTGGGATGGGATGGGGTGGGATGGGATGGGGTGGGATGAGATGGGATGGGGTGGGATGGGATGGGATGGGATGGGGATGGGATGGGGTGGGATTGGGATGGGATGGGGTGGGATGGGATGGGATGGGATGGGATGGGATGGGATGGGATGGGGATGGGATGGGGTGGGATGGGATGGGATGGGATGGAGTGGGATGGGATGGGGTGGGATTGGGATGGGATGGGATGGGATGGGGTGGGGTGGGATGGGATGGGATGGGATGGGATGGGATGGGATGGGATGGGATGGGATGGGATGGAGTGGGATGGGATGAGATGGGATGGGGTGGGATTGGGATGGGATGGGATGGGATGGGATGGGGTGGGATTGGGATGGGATGGGATGGGATGGGATGGGGTGGGATTGGGATGGGATGGGGTGGGATGGGATGGGGTGGGATGGGATGGGGTGGGATTGGGATGGGATGGGGTGGGATGGGATGAGATGGGGATGGGATGGGGTGGGATGGGGATGGGATGGGATGGGATGGGATGGGATGGGATGGGATGGGATGGGATGGATGGGATGGGATGGGATGGGATGGGGTGGGATGGGATGGGATGGGATGGGATGGGATGGGGTGGGATTGGGATGGGATGGGATGGGATGGGATGGGGTGGGATTGGGATGGGATGGGGTGGGATGGGATGGGGTGGGATGGGATGGGGTGGGATGAGATGGGATGGGGTGGGATGGGATGGGATGGGATGGGGATGGGATGGGGTGGGATGGGATGGGATGGGATGGGATGGGGTGGGATGGGATGGGATGGGATGGGGATGGGATGGGGTGGGATTGGGATGGGATGGGGTGGGATGGGATGGGGTGGGATGGGATGGGATGGGATGGGATGGGGTGGGATGGGATGGGATGGGGTGGGATGGGATGGGGTGGGATGGGATGGGATGGGATGGGGGGGCCGCGATGTGGTGGCAGCAGGACGAGTTACAGTGGCCGCTCCCTGCTGAGCTGCATTCGCACCGAGCAGCCGCCGCAAGGCAGGGGGCACCAGGCTGCGGGTCAGCAGCGCCGTGGTGCCGGCGGCGTCGCGCTCCTCCATGCGCTGCAGGTCCACGGTGACGCTGCGGCCACCCAACACCGCCGGCACCCGGCGCTCCCTGCGCTGCCACAGGGCCTCCAGCACCGCGGCGTCCTCTGCGCCGTACGGCACCGCGGTGCCACAGGGCATCCAGCGCACCCAGCACACGGCCTGGGGAGCAGCGCTGCCTGCATGGGAAACGAGATCATTGGCACGGCATGGCATTGCATGGCACTGCATGGCACTGCATGGCACTGCATGGCACTGCATGGCACTGCATGGCCTGCATGGCACTGCATGGCACGGCATGGCACTGCATGGCACTGCATGGCACTGCATGGCCTGCATGGCACTGCATGGCACTGCATGGCACTGCATGGCACGGCATGGCCTGCATGGCCTGCATGGCACTGCATGGCACTGCATGGCACTGCACGGCACCGCATGGCACTGCATGGCACTGCATGGCACTGCATGGCCTGCATGGCACAGCATGGCACTGCATGGCACTGTGCAGCACTGCATGGCACGGCATGGCACTGCGCACTCTTATTGGGCACTCAGTGGGCACTCAATGGACACCCAATGGACACCCAGTGGGCACCCAATGGACACCCAATGGACACCCAGTGGGCACCTAATGGACACTCAGTCGGCACTCAATGGGCACCCAATGGGTTCTCAATGGACACCCAATGGACACCCAGTGGGCACTCAGTGGGCACCCTGTGGGCACCCAATGGGCACTCAGTGGGCACTCAATGGACACCCAATGGGCACTCAGTGGGCACCCAATGGACACCCAATGGGCACTCAGTGGGCACCCAATGGACACCCAGTGGGCACTCAATGGACACTCAGTGGGCACCCATTGGGCTCCCATTGGGTACTCAGTGGGCACTCAGTGGGCACCCAATGAGCACCCAATGGGCACCCAGTGGGCACCCAATGGACACTCAGTCGGCACTCAATGGACACCCAATGGGCACTCAATGGACACCCAATGGGCACCCAGTGGGCACCCAATGGACACTCAGTCGGCACTCAATGGGCACCCAATGGACACTCAGTGGGCACTCAATGGACACCCAGTGGGCACCCAATGGACACTCAGTCGGCACTCAATGGGCACCCAATGGGCACTCAATGGTTTCTCAATGGACACCCAATGGACACCCAGTGGGCACTGAATGGACACCCAATGGACACCCAATGGACACCCAGTGGGCACTGAATGGACACCCAATGGACACCCAATGGACACCCAGTGGGCACTCAGTGGACACTCAGTGGGCACCCATTGGGCTCCCATTGGGCACTCAGTGGGCACTCAGTGGGCACCCAATGAGCACCCAATGGGCACCCAGTGGGCACTCAATGGACACTCAGTGGGCACTCAATGGGCACCCAATGGGCACTCAATGGGCACTCAGTGGGCACTCAATGAGCACCAAATGGGCACCCAATGGGCACTCAGTGGGCACTCAGTGGGCACCCAATGGGCACCCAGTGGGCACTGAGTGGGCACTCAATGGACACCCAGTGGGCACCCAGTGGGCCCCCAATGGACACCCTGTGGGCACTCAGTGGACACCCAATGGGCACTCAATGGACACCCTGTGGGCACCCAATGGGCACTCAGTGGGCACTCAATGGACACCCAATGGGCACTCAGTGGGCACCCAATGGGCCCCCAGTGGGTTCTCAATGGGCACTCAATGGACACTCAGTGGGCACTCAATGGACACCCAATGGGCCCCCAGTGGGCACTCAATGGGCACCCAATGGGCACTCAATGGATTCTCAATGGACACCCAATGGACACCCAATGGACACCCAGTGGGCACTCAGTGGGCACCCAATGGACACCCAGTGGGCACTCAGTGGGCACCCAATGGACACCCAGTGGGCACTCAATGGACACTCAGTGGGCACCCATTGGGCTCCCATTGGGTACTCAGTGGGCACTCAGTGGGCACCCAATGAGCACCCAATGGGCACCCAGTGGGCACCCAATGGACACTCAGTCGGCACTCAATGGACACCCAATGGGCACTCAATGGACACCCAATGGGCACCCAGTGGGCACCAATGGACACTCAGTCGGCACTCAATGGGCACCCAATGGACACTCAGTGGGCACTCAATGGACACCCAGTGGGCACCCAATGGACACTCAGTCGGCACTCAATGGGCACCCAATGGGCACTCAATGGTTTCTCAATGGACACCCAATGGACACCCAGTGGGCACTGAATGGACACCCAATGGACACCCAATGGACACCCAGTGGGCACTCAGTGGACACTCAGTGGGCACCCATTGGGCTCCCATTGGGCACTCAGTGGGCACTCAGTGGGCACCCAATGAGCACCCAATGGGCACCCAGTGGGCACTCAATGGACACTCAGTGGACACTCAATGGACACCCAATGGGCACCCAATGGGCACTCAATGGACACCCAATGGGCACCCAGTGGGCACCCAATGGACACTCAGTGGGCTCTCAATGGGCACCCAATGGGCACTCAATGAGCACCAAATGGGCACCCAATGGGCACTCAATGGGCACCCAATTGACACCCAATGGGCACCCAATGGACACTCAGTGGGCACTCAATGGACACCCAATGGGCACCCAATGGACACTCAGTGGGCACCCAATGGGCACTCAATGGGCACCCAATGGGCACTCAATGGGCACTCAATGGACACCCAAAGGGCACTCAGTGGGAACTCAATGGACACCCAATGGGCTCTCAGTGGGCACTCAATGGGCACTCAGTGGGCACTCAATGGACACCCAATGGGCACTCAGTGGGCACTCAATGGACACCCAATGGGCACTCAGTGGGCACCCAATGGGCACTCAGTGGGCACTCAATGGACACCCAATGGGCACTCAGTGGGCACTCAGTGGGCACTCAATGGGCACCCAATGGACACTCAGTGGGCACCCAATGGGCACTCAGTGGGCACTCAATGAGCACCCAATGGGCACTCAGTGGGCACTCAATGGGCACCCAATGGGCACTCAGTGGGCACCCAATGGGCACTCAGTGGGCACTCAATGGGCACCCAATGGACACTCAGTGGGCACCCATTGGGCACTCAGTGGGCACTCAATGGACACCCAATGGGCACTCAGTGGGCACTCAGTGGGCACTCAGTGGGCACCCAATGGGCACTCAGTGGGCACTCAATGGGCACCCAATGGACACTCAGTGGGCACCCAGTGGGCACTCAATGGGCACTCAATGGGCACTCAGTGGGCACTCAATGGGCACCCAATGGGCACTCAGTGGGCACTCAATGGGCACTCAATGGACACCCAATGGACACCCAGTGGGCACTCAATGGGCACTCAGTGGGCACTCAATGGGCACCCAATGGGCAGTCAGTGGGCACTCAATGGGCACTCAGTGGGCACTCAATGGGCACTCAGTGGGCACCCAATGGACACCCAATGGGCACTCAGTGGGCACTCAGTGGGCACTCAATGGGCACTCAATGGGCACTCAATGGGCACTCAATGGACACCCAATGGACACTCAGTGGGCACTCAGTGGGCACTCAATGGACACCCAATGGGCACTCATTGGGCACTCAATGGACACCCAATGGACACACAATGGACACCCAATGGGCACTCAGTGGGCACTCAATGGACACTCAGTGGGCACTCAATGGGCACCCAATGGGCACTCAGTGGGCACTCAATGGACACTCAGTGGGCACCCAATGGACACTCAGTGGGCACTCAATGGGCACCCAATGGACACTCAGTGGGCACTTAATGGACACCCAATGGACACTCAGTGGGCACCCAATGGACACCCAGTGGGCACCCAATGGACACTCAGTGGGCACTCAGTGGGCACCCAATGGACACCCAGTGGGCACTTAATGGACACCCAATGGACACTCAGTGGGCACCCAATGGACACCCAGTGGGCACCCAATGGACACTCAGTCGGCACTCAATGGGCACCCAATGGGCACCCAGTGGGCACTCAATGGACACCCAATGGACACCCAGTGGGCACCCAATGGGCACCCAATGGGCACTCAGTGGGCACTCAATGGACACCCTGTGGGCACCCAATGGACACTCAGTGGGCACTCAATGGACACCCAATGGGCACCCAATGGGCACTCAATGGACACCCAATGGACACTCAGTGGGCACCCAATGGACACCCAATGGGCACTCAGTGGACACCCAATGGGCACCCAGTGGGCACCCAATGGACACTCAGTGGGCACTCAATGGGCACCCAATGGACACCCAATGGACACCCAGTGGGCACCTAATGGACACTCAGTGGGCACTCAATGGGCACTCAATGGGCACTCAATGGGTTCTCAATGGACACCCAATGGACACCCAGTGGGCACCCAATGGGCACTCAGTTTGCACTCAGTGGGCACCCATTGGGCTCCCATTGGGCACCACCAGGCCCTGTTCACCCCGCAGCCCCGCTCACCGCTCCCCACAGGCGCCTCCAGTCGCCCATCGCTCAGCAGCTCCCTCAGCTCGCGCTCAGCAGCGCCGACCAACTCCCCAAATCCTCTCAGCGTGGCGCAGCAGCCCTGGATGCGCAGCCGCACCGCGTGCCGCCGCCGCAACATCGCCACGCAGCCGTCCTGCAGCGCCGGCAGCCTCGCGTCCATCACTTCCACCGTCCTCAGCTCTGCTTCCAGCGCCCGCTGCAGCGCAGCCAGCACCGCTCCGGCATCGCGCTGCGACGCGGCCAACAACCGCAGCTCCGCCACCCCGTCGGGGTGAAGGGAAACTGCGCTGCGGCGCTGCGGTGCCGGCTGTGCTTCCTCCTCCTTCTCTTCCTCCTCCATAGAGCACTGCAGTGCCAGCTGTGCTTCCTCCTCCTCTTCCTCCTCCATAGAGCACTGCAGTGCCAGCTGTGCTTCCTCCTCCTCTTCCTCCTCCATAGAGCACTGCAGTGCCAGCTGTGCTTCCTCCTCCTCTTCCTCTTCCTCCTCCATAGAGCACTGCAGTGCCAGCTGTGCTTCCTCCTCCTCTTCCTCCTCCATAGAGCACTGCAGTGCCAGCTGTGCTTCCTCCTCCTCTTCCTCCTCCATAGAGCACTGCAGTGCCAGCTGTGCTTCCTCCTCCTCTTCCTCCTCCATAGAGCGCTGCAGTGCCAGCTGTGCTTCCTCCTCCTCTTCCTCTTCCTCCTCCATAGAGCACTGCAGTGCCGGCTGTGCTTCCTCTTCCTCTTCCTCTTCCTCCTCTATAGAGCATTGCAGTGCCAGCTGTGCTTCCTCCTCCTCTTCCTCCTCTATAGAGCACTGCAGTGCCAGCTGTGCTTCCTCCTCCTCTTCCTCTTCCTCCTCCATAGAGCACTGCAGTGCCGGCTGTGCTTCCTCCTCCTCTTCCTCCTCCATAGAGCACTGCAGTGCCAGCTGTGCTTCCTCCTCCCCTTCCTCTTCCTCCTCCATAAAGCACTGCAGTGCCAGCTGTGCTTCCTCCTCCTCTTCCTCTTCCTCTTCCTCTTTCCTCTCCTCCACAGAGCGCTGCAGTGCCAACGCCAGCTGTGCTTCCTCTTCCTCCTCCTCGTCCTTCATGGAGCGCTGCAGTGCTATGGCCAGCTGTGCTTCCTCTTCCTCCTCCTCTTCCTCCTTCACTGAGAACCGCAGTGCCATTGCCAGCTGTGCTTCCTCCTGCTCTTCCTCTTCCTCTTTCTTCTCCTCCATAGAGCGCTGCAGTGCCATTGCCAGCTGTGCTTCCTCTTCCTCCTCCTCCTCCTCCTTCATGGAGCGCTGCAGCGCCATTGCCAGCTGTGCTTCCTCCTCCTCCTCCTCTTCCTCTTTCCTCTCCTCCACAGAGCGCTGCAGTGCCAACGCCAGCTGTGCTTCCTCCTCATCCTCATCCTCCTCCTTCATGGAGCGCTGCAGTGCCATTGCCAGCTGTGCTTCCTCCTCCTCCTCCTCTTCCTCTTTCCTCTCCTCCATAGAGCGCTGCAGTGCCATTGCCAGCTGTGCTTCCTCCTCCTCCTCCTCTTCCTCTTTCCTCTCCTCCATAGAGCGCTGCAGTGCCATTGCCAGCTGTGCTTCCTCCTCCTCCTCCTCCTCTTCCTCTTTCCTGTTCTTCATAGAGCGCTGCAGCGCCAACGCCAGCTGTGCTTCCTCCTCCTCCTCCTCTTCCTCTTTCCTCTCCTCCATAGAGCGCTGCAGCGCCATTGCCAGCTGTGCTTCCTCCTCCTCCTCCTCCTCCTCCTTCATGGAGCGCTGCAGTGCCAACGCCAGCTGTGCTTCCTCCTCCTCCTCCTCCTCCTCCTCTTTCCTCTCCTCCACACAGCGCTGCAGTGCCAGCTGTGCTTCCTCCTCCTCCTCCTCCTCCTCCCCCCTTTCCATACCAGCACTGCGCTGCGGCTCCTTGGATCCCGCATCCCTCAGCGCCGCCGCCTCCTCTGTGGGGCAGAGGGCAGATGTGGGGCGGGCAATGGGACCTCGCCACAGGAAGCCCCCCTGCCCCCCTCCCTCAGCCCCATTTGGAGACCCCTGACCCCATGTGGGGACCCCCAACCCCATTAGGGAACCCCCGACCCCATCTGGGATACCCCAAACCCACTTGGTGACCCCCCCCCCTCCATCCCCATTTGGAGACCCCTGACCCCATTTGGAGACCCCCTCCATCCCTATTTGGAGACCCCCGAGCCCATTTGGGGATCTCCAACCCCATTAGGGAACCCCCGACCCCATTTGATACCCCAAACCCATCTGGGGACCCCCCTGCACCCCCACCTGGAGACCCCTGACCCCATTTGGAGACCCCCTCTACCCCCATTTGGAGACCCCTGACCCCATTTGGGGATCCCCAATCCCATTAGGGAACCCCCGACCCCATCTGGGATACCCCAAACCCATTTGGGGACCCCCTTCCACCCCCATTTGGAGACCCCCGACCCCATTTGGGGACATCCCAAACCCATTTGGGGATCCCCAATCCCATTAGGGAACCCGTAGACCCCATTAGGGATACCCCAAACCCATCTGGGGACCCCCCTGCACCCCCACCTGGAGACCCCTGACCCCATTTGGGGACCCCCTCCAATCCCATTGAGAGACTCCCAACCCCCTGTGGGGATCCCCAACCCCATTAGGGAACCCCTGACCCCATTTGATACCCCAAACCCATTTGGGGACCCCCTTCCACCCCCATTTGGAGACCCCCGACCCCATTTTGGGATACCCCAGACCCATTTGGAGACCCCCCTGCACCCCCACCTGGAGACCCCTGACCCCATTTGGAGACCCCCTCCACCTCCATTTGGAGACCCCTGACCCCATTTGGGGATCCCCAATCCCATTAGGGAACCCCTGAACCATTTTGGGATACCCCAAGCCCATTTGGGGACCCCCTTCCACCCCCATTTGGAGACCCCCGACCCCATTTGGGGATCTCCAACCCCATTAGGGAACCCCCGACCCCATTTGATACCCCAAACGCATTTGAGGATCCCCCTCCACCCCCATTTGGAGACCCCCGACCCCATTTGGGGATCCCCAATCCTATTAGGGATACCCCAAAACCATTTGAGGACCCCCCTCCACCCCCATTTGGAGACCCCTGACCCCATTTGGGGATCCCCAATCCCATTAGGGAACTCCTGACCCCATTAGGGATACCCCAAACCCATTTGGGAACCCCCCTGCACCCCCATTTGGAGACCTCTGACCCCATTTGGGGAGATCCCAAACCCATTTGGGGACCCCCTTCCACCCCCATTTGGAGACCCCTGACCCCATTTGGGGATCCCCAATCCCATTAGGGAACCCCTGAACCATTTTGGGATACCCCAAGCCCATTTGGGGACCCCCTTCCACCCCCATTTGGAGACCCCCGACCCCATTTGGGGACATCCCAACCCCATTTGGGGATCCCCAACCCCATTAGGGAACCCCTAGACCCCATTAGGGATACCCCAAACCCATCTGGGGACCCCCCTGCAGCCCCATTTGGGGACCCCCCATCAGGCCCCATTTGGAGACCCCTGACCCCACTTGGGGATCCCTTCCACCCCCATTTGGAGACCCCCGACCCCATTTTGGGATACCCCAGACCCATTTGGAGACCCCCCTGCACCCCCACCTGGAGACCCCTGACCCCATTTGGAGACCCCCTCCACCTCCATTTGGAGACCCCTGACCCCATTTGGGGATCCCCAATCCCATTAGGGAACCCCTGAACCATTTTGGGATACCCCAAGCCCATCTGGGGACCCCCTTCCACCCCCATTTGGAGACCCCCGACCCCATTTGGGGACATCCCAACCCCATTTGGGGATCCCCAATCCCATTAGGGATACCCCAAACCCCACTTGGGGACCCCCTTCCACCCCCATTTGGAGACCCCCGACCCCATTTGATACCCCAAACCCATTTGGGGAACCCCTCCACCCCATTTGGAGACCCCCAACCCCATTTGGGATACTCCAAACCCATTTGGAGACCCCCCCTCCATCCCCATTTGGAGACCCCTGACCCCATTTGGGGATCTCCAACCCCATTTGGGGATCCCCAATCCTATTAGGGATACCCCAAACCCATTTGAGGACCCCTCCTCCACCCCCATTTGGAGACCCCCGACCCCATTTGGGGATCCCCAATCCCATTAGGGAACTCCTGACCCCATTAGGGATACCCCAAACCCATTTGGGGACCCCCGTGCACCCCCATTTGGAGACCCCCGACCCCATTTGATACCCCAAGCCCATCTGGGAACCCCCCTGCACCCCTACCTGGAGACCCCTGACCCCATTTGGGGACATCCCAAACCCATCTGAGGATCCCCAACCCCATTAGGGATCTCCTGACCCCATTAGGGATACCCCAAACCCATCTGAGGACCCCCCTGCACCCCCACCTGGAGACCCCCGACCCCATTATGGATACCCCAAACCCATCTGAGGACCCCCCTCCACCCCCTTTTGGAGACCCCATTTGATACCCCAAACCCATCTGGGGACCCCCCTGCACCCCCACCTGGAGACCCCTGACCCCATTTGATACCCCAAACCCATCTGGGGACCCCCCTGCAGCCCCATTTGGGGACCCCTGACCCCACTTGGGGATCCCTTCCACCCCCATTTGGAGACCCCTGACCCCATTTGGGGATCCCCAATCCCATTAGGGAACCCCGAACCATTTTGGGATACCCCAAGCCCATTTGGGGACCCCCCTGCACCCCCATTTGGGGACCCCCCGTCAGGCCCCATTTGGAGACCCCTGACCCCACTTGGGGATCCCTTCCACCCCCATTTGGAGACCCCCGACCCCATTTGATACCCCAAACCCATTTGGGGACCCCCCTGCACCCCCATTTGGAGACCCCTGACCCCATTTGATACCCCAAACCCATCTGGGGACCCCCCTGCACCCCCACCTGGAGACCCCTGACCCCATTTGGAGACCCCCTCCAATCCCATTGAGAGACCCCCAACCCCCTGTGGGGATCCCCAACCCCATTAGGGAACCCCTGACCCCATTTGATACCCCAAACCCATTTGGGGACCCCCCTGCACCCCCATTTGGAGACCCCTGACCCCATTTGATACCCCAAACCCCACTTGGGGACCCCCTTCCACCCCCATTTGGAGACCCCCGACCCCATTTGATACCCCAAACCCATTTGGGGAACCCCTCCACCCCATTTGAAGACCCCCGACCCCATTTGGGATACCCCAAACCCATTTGGAGACCCCCTCCATCCCTATTTGGAGACCCCTGACCCCATTTGGGGATCTCCAACCCCATTTGGGGATCCCCAATCCTATTAGGGATACCCCAAACCCATTTGAGGACCCCTCCTCCACCCCCATTTGGAGACCCCCGACCCCATTTGGGGATCCCCAATCCCATTATGGAACTCCTGACCCCATTAGTGATACCCCAAACCCATTTGGGGACCCCCGTGCACCCCCATTTGGAGACCCCCGACCCCATTTGGGGATCCCCAATCCCATTAGGGAACTCCTGACCCCATTAGGGATACCCCAAGCCCATTTGGGGACCCCCTTCCACCCCCATTTGGAGACCCCCGACCCCATTTGGGGACATCCCAAACCCATTTGGGGATCCCCAATCCCATTAGGGAACCCCTAGACCCCATTAGGGATACCCCAAACCCATCTGGGGACCCCCCTGCACCCCCATTTGGGACCCCCCGTCAGGCCCCATTTGGAGACCCCTGACCCCACTTGGGGATCCCTTCCACCCCCATTTGGAGACCCCCGACCCCATTTGATACCCCAAACCCATTTGGGGACCCCCCTGCACCCCCACCTGGAGACCCCTGACCCCATTTGGGGACCCCCTCCAATCCCATTGAGAGACCCCCAACCCCCTGTGGGGATCCCCAACCCCATTAGGGAACCCCTGACCCCATTTGATACCCCAAACCCATTTGGGGACCCCCCTGCACCCCCATTTGGAGACCCCTGACCCCATTTGATACCCCAAACCCACTTGGGGACCCGTTTCCACCCCTATTTGGAGACCCCCGACCCCATTTGATACCCCAAACCAATCTGGGGACCCCCCTGCACCCCCACCTGGAGACCCCTGACCCCATTTGATACCCCAAACCCATTTGGGGACCCCCTTCCACCCCCATTTGGAGACCCCCGACCCCATTTTGGGATACCCCAGACCCATTTGGAGACCCCCAACTCCAGCCCGGGCCCCTTCCCCCCTGCTCACCTTTCTCACTGTCCCCACACAGCCGTGCCGCGCTGCCGCCATCGCCACGCAGCTCTGCAGGGCGCAGCTGGGGCACAGGGGGACGCCGTGGCACCACGGTGTGTCCACGGCGCAGCCCCACAGCGCCCCATAGAGCAGCCCCACAGCGCCCCTATGGCACAGCGCAGCCCCACAGCGCCCCATAGAGCAGCCCCACAGCGCCCCTATGGCACAGCACAGCCCCACAGCGCCCCCTATGGCACAGCGCAGCCCCACGGCATCCCCTATGGCACAGCACCCCTATGGCACAGCGCAGCCCCACAGCGCCCCCTATGGCACAGCACCCCTATGGCACAGCGCAGCCCCACAGCGCCCCTATGGCACAACGCAGCCCCACAGCGCCCCATAGAGCAGCCCCACAGCGCCCCTATGGCACAGCACAGCCCCACAGCGCCCCATAGAGCAGCACCCACAGCGCCCCTATGGCACAGCGCAGCCCCACAGCGCCCCTATGGCACAGCGCAGCCCCACAGCGCCCCATAGAGCAGCCCCACAGCGCCCCTATGGCACAGCACAGCCCCACAGCGCCCCATAGAGCAGCCCCACAGCGCCCCGATGGCACAGCACAGCCCCACGGCGCCCCATAGAGCAGCCCCACAGCACCCCTATGGCACAGCACAGCCCCACGGCGCCCCATAGAGCAGCCCCACAGCGCCCCTATGGCACAGCGCAGCCCCACAGCTCCCCATAGAGCAGCACCCACAGCGCCCCTATGGCACAACGCAGCCCCACAGCGCCCCATAGAGCAGCCCCACAGCGCCCCTATGGCACAGCGCAGCCCCACAGCTCCCCATAGAGCAGCACCCACAGCGCCCCTATGGCACAGCGCAGCCCCACAGCGCCCCATAGAGCAGCCCCACAGCGCCCCTATGGCACAACGCAGCCCCACAGCGCCCCCTATGGCACAGCGCAGCCCCACGGCGCCCCCTATGGCACAGCGCAGCCCTGCAGTGTCCCCTATGGCACAGCGCAGCCCCACAGCGCCCCATAGAGCAGCCCCACAGCGCCCCTATGGCACAACGCAGCCCCACAGCGCCCCTATGGCACAGCACAGCCCCACAGCGCCCCCTATGGCACAGCACCCCTATGGCACAGCACAGCCCCACAGCGCCCCTATGGCACAACGCAGCCCCACAGCGCCCCCTATGGCACAGCGCAGCCCCACGGCATCCCCTATGGTACAGCACAGCCCCACAGCGCCCCCTATGGCACAACACAGCCCAAAGCGCCCCTATGGCACAACGCAGCCCCACGGCATCCCCTATGGCACAGCACCCCTATGGCACAGCGCAGCCCCACAGCGCCCCCTATGGCACAGCGCAGCCCCACGGCATCCCCTATGGCACAGCACCCCTATGGCACAGCGCAGCCCCACAGCGCCCCCTATGGCACAGCACCCCTATGGCACAGCACAGCCCCACAGCGCCCCATAGAGCAGCACCCACAGCGCCCCTATGGCACAGCGCAGCCCCACAGCGCCCCTATGGCACAGCGCAGCCCCACAGCGCCCCATAGAGCAGCCCCACAGCGCCCCTATGGCACAGCACAGCCCCACAGCGCCCCATAGAGCAGCCCCACAGCGCCCCGATGGCACAGCACAGCCCCACGGCGCCCCATAGAGCAGCCCCACAGCACCCCTATGGCACAGCACAGCCCCACGGCGCCCCATAGAGCAGCCCCACAGCGCCCCTATGGCACAGCGCAGCCCCACAGCTCCCCATAGAGCAGCACCCACAGCGCCCCTATGGCACAGCGCAGCCCCACAGCGCCCCATAGAGCAGCCCCACAGCGCCCCTATGGCACAACGCAGCCCCACAGCGCCCCCTATGGCACAGCGCAGCCCCACGGCGCCCCCTATGGCACAGCGCAGCCCTGCAGTGTCCCCTATGGCACAGCGCAGCCCCACAGCGCCCCATAGAGCAGCCCCACAGCGCCCCTATGGCACAACGCAGCCCCACAGCGCCCCCTATGGCACAGCGCAGCCCCACAGCGCCCCATAGAGCAGCACAAACCCACAACACCCCCTATGGCACAGCGTAGCCCCACAGCGCCCCATAGAGCAGCGCAGGCACAGCACCCCTATCGCACAGCTCAGCCCCACAGAGCCCCTACGGCACAGCTCAGCCCCACAGCGCCCCCTATGGCACAGCGCAGCCCCACAGCGACCCTATGGCACAGCGCAGCCCTGCAGTGTCCCCTATGGCACAGCACAGCCACACAGCGCTCCATAGAGCAGCCCCACAGCGCCCCTATGGCACAACGCAGCCCCACAGCGCCCCCTATGGCACAGCACGGCTCAGCCCCACAGCACCCCTATGGCACAGCACGGCTCAGCCCCACAGCACGGCTCAGCCCCACAGCACCCCTATGGCACAGCACGGCTCAGCCCCACAGCACCCCTATGGCACAGCACAGCTCAGCCCCACAGCACCCCTATGGCACAGCACGGCTCAGCCCCACAGCGCCCCTATGGCACAGCACGGCTCAGCCCCACAGCGCCCCCATGGCACAGCACGGCTCAGCCCCACAGCACCCCTATGGCACAGCACGGCTCAGCCCCACAGCACCCCTATGGCACAGCATGGCTCAGCCCCACATCACGGCTCAGCCCCACAGCACGGCTCAGCCCCACAGCACCCCTATGGCACAGCACGGCTCAGCCCCACAGCGCCCCCATGGCACAGCACGGCTCAGCCCCACAGCACGGCTCAGCCCCACAGCACCCCTATGGCACAGCACGGCTCAGCCCCACAGCACGGCTCAGCCCCACAGCACCCCTATGGCACAGCACGGCTCAGCCCCACAGCACGGCTCAGCCCCACAGCACCCCTATGGCACAGCACGGCTCAGCCCCACAGCGCCCCTATGGCACAACACAGCCCCACAGCACCCCTATGGCACAGCATGGCTCAGCCCCACAGCGCCCCCATGGCACAGCACGGCTCAGCCCCACAGCGCCCCTATGGCACAGCACGGCTCAGCCCCACAGCACCCCTATGGCACAGCATGGCTCAGCCCCACAGCACGGCTCAGCCCCACGGCACCCCTATGGCACAACACGGCCCCATGGCACCCCCATGGCACAGCACGGCTCAGCCCCATGGCACAGCACGGCTCAGCCCCACGGCACCACCATGGCACAGCACGGCTCAGCCCCACAGCACCCCTATGGCACAGCACGGCTCAGCCCCACAGCACCCCTATGGCACAGCACGGCTCAGCCCCACAGCACCCCTATGGCACAACACGGCCCCATGGCACTCCTATGGCACAGCACGGCTCAGCCCCACAGCGCCCCTATGGCACAGCACGGCTCAGCCCCACGGCACCCCTATGGCACAACACGGCCCCATGGCACCCCCATGGCACAGCACGGCTCAGCCCCATGGCACAGCACGGCTCAGCCCCACGGCACCACCATGGCACAGCACGGCTCAGCCCCACAGCACCCCTATGGCACAGCACGGCTCAGCCCCACAGCACCCCTATGGCACAGCACGGCTCAGCCCCACAGCACCCCTATGGCACAACACGGCCCCATGGCACCCCTATGGCACAGCACGGCTCAGCCCCACAGCGCCCCTATGGCACAGCACGGCTCAGCCCCACGGCACCCCTATGGCACAGCACGGCTCAGCCCCACAGCGCCCCTATGGCACAACACAGCCCCACGGCACCCCTATGGCACAGCACAGCTCAGCCCCACGGCACCCCTATGGCACAGCACAGCTCAGCCCCACAGCACGGCTCAGCCCCACAGCACGGCTCAGCCCCACGGCACCCCTATGGCACAGCACGGCTCAGCCCCACAGCGCCCCTATGGCACAACACAGCCCCACAGCACCCCTATGGCACAGCATGGCTCAGCCCCACAGCGCCCCCATGGCACAGCACGGCTCAGCCCCACAGCACCCCTATGGCACAGCACGGCTCAGCCCCACAGCGCCCCCATGGCACAGCACGGCTCAGCCCCACAGCGCCCCTATGGCACAGCACGGCTCAGCCCCACAGCACCCCTATGGCACAGCATGGCTCAGCCCCACAGCACGGCTCAGCCCCACGGCACCCCTATGGCACAGCACGGCTCAGCCCCACAGCGCCCCTATGGCACAACACGGCCCCATGGCACCGCTATGGCACAGCACGGCTCAGCGTCACGGCACCCCTATGGCACAACACGGCTCAGCCCCATGGCATGGCTCAGTCCCATGGCACAGCACGGCTCAGCCCCATGGCACAGCACGGCTCAGCCCCACGGCACCCCTATGGCACAACACGGCCCCATGGCACCCCTATGGCACAGCACGGCTCAGCCCCACGGCACCCCTATGGCACAACACGGCCCCATGGCACCCCTATGGCACAGCACGGCTCAGCCCCACGGCACCCCTATGGCACAGCACGGCTCAGCCCCACAGCACGGCTCAGCCCCACGGCACAGCACGGCCCTGCAGTGTCCCCACGGCCCCCCCGCAGCACCCCGTCCCCCCCATACCTGCGGTTCCGGCGGGTGGCGCCGCACAACGCGGGGCTCCAACACGCAGCCGTGCCGCTCCTCCACGCGGCGCAGCACGCGGCGCCCGGCGTCGGCCAGCAGGAATCGGGCGATGCCGGGGAAGCGGAGCCGCACCGTGCGGACGCTCCTTGTGCCCGCCGGGCTCTGCACCCATCCGGCGGCGGCGCGGCATCGTGACGGCTCTCCGCGGAGCTGCGGGACGCCACCGTCAGCACCGAGCGGAGCGGCACCAGGCGGAGCAGAGCAGAACCGAGCGGAGCAGAACCGAGCGGAGCAGAACCGAGCGGAGCAGAACCGAGCGGAGCAGAACCGCACCGCACCGAGCAGAGCGGCACCGCGCCGGCAGCACCGAACGGAGCAGCACCGGGCGGAGCAGCACCGCACCGCACCGAACGGAGCAGCACTGAACGGAGCAGCTCCGCACCCAGCAGCACCGAGCAGAGCAGCACCGCGCCGGCTTTACGGAGAGGAGCGGCTCCTCAGCCGGCAGCACCGAGCGGAGCAGCGCTGCACAGCAATGTCAGCACCAAGCAGAGCAGCACCCAGCGGAGCAGCGCCACTCAGCACCGCACCGAGCACAGCAGCACCGCACGGAGCAGAGCAGCACGGCCTCGCACCCAGCAGCATCGCACGGAGCAGAGCAGCACCGCACCCAGCAGCACCGCACGGAGCAGAGCAGCACCGCACCGCACCAAGCAGCACCGCCCCGCACCCAGCAGCACCGCACCGAGCACAGCAGCACCACCCCGCACCCAGCAGCACCGCACGGAGCAGAGCAGCACCGCACCGAGCACAGCAGCACCGCACCCAGCAGCACCACACCAAGCAGAGCAGCACCGCACCGCACCCAGCAGCACCGCACCGAGCACAGCAGCACCGCACCCAGCAGCACCGCACCGAGCAGAGCAGCACCGCACCGCACCCAGGAGCACCGCACCGAGCACCGCAGCACCGCACTGCACCCAGCAGCACCGCACTGAGCACCGCAGCACCGCCCCGCACCCAGCAGCACCGCACCGAGCACCGCAGCACCGCCCCGCACCCAGCAGCACCGCCCCGCACCCAGCAGCACCGCCCCGCACCCAGCAGCACCGCACGGAGCAGAGCAGCACCGCACTGCACCCAGCAGCACTGCATCGAGCAGAGCAGCACCGCCCCGCACCCAGCAGCACCGCACGGAGCAGAGCAGCACCGCACCGCACCCAGGAGCACCGCACCGAGCAGAGCAGCACCGCACGGAGCACAGCAGCACCGCCCCGCACCCAGCAGCACCGCCCCGCACCCAGCAGCACCGCCCCCAGCAGCACCGCCCCGCGCCGGCAGCCCCGCGCTCACCCGCACAGCGCTGCCGTCGGTCCGTTCCAGCGGCAGCACGGAGGCGGCGGTGCCGGCGGGCAGCAGATGGCGGCGCTGCTCCCGCAGGAAGCGCAGGGCGCCCCCCGCCATCGGAACCGCGGCCTCCGCCAGCGCCGGGCCGCCGGGATCCGCGGGGGGGGGCCGCGATGGGCCCCGAATCGGGGGCGGCGCCGGGATCCGCGTCGGGTTCCCTGAGGGACCAACAAGTGGCAGCGGCCTCGGGGTCCAGGATGGGCTGTGAATGGGGATCTGCGATGGGTGCCGGGTTGAGCCGTGAGCTGGGATCTCCATGGGGATCCACGTTGGGGTCCAGAACGGGACGTGAATGGGGATCTGTGCTGGGCTCCGGGTTGAGCCACGAGCTGAGATCCACGTTGGGTTCCAGGATGGGACATGAATCAGGATCTGCACTGGGTTCCAGGTTGAGCCACAGGTTGGGATCTCCATCAGGATCCATGTTGGGTTCCAGGACGGGATGTGAATGGGGATCTGTGATGGGTTCCGGGTTGAGCCATGAGCTGGGATCTCCATTGGGATCCACGTTGGGGTCCAGGATGGGACGTGAATGGGGATCTGCGATGGGTTCCAGGTTGAGCCGTGAGCTGGGATCTCCATCAGGATCCACGTTGGGTTCCAGGATGGGCTGTGAATGGGGATCTGTGCTGCGTTCTGGGTTGAGCCACGAGCTGGGATCTCCATTGGGATCCACGTTGGGTTCCAGGACGGGACATGAATCAGGATCTGCGCTGGGTTCCAGGTTGAGCCACACGTTGGGATCTCCATCGGGATCCACGTTGGGTTCCAGGATGGGCTGTGAATCGGGATCCGCGTTGGGTTCCAGGTTGAGCCACGAGTTGGGATCTCCATCGGGATCCACACCGCGTTCTTCGCTGGGCCGCACATCGGGATCTGCGTTGGGATCGATGTTGGGTGACGCTTTGAGATTCACACATGGGGATCCCATGGGGATCCACGCCGGGATTCAGACTGGGAAACCCCTGGGATCCACAGCGGGATCTGGGGTGGGATCCGGGTTGGGATCCAGGGGATCCAGGTTGGTCACCACACAGGGCACCTCGTGGGGATCCACATGGGATCCACTTTGGTCGCCATGTTGAAATTCACATTGGGATCCACACCGGGATCCGTGTTGGGATCCATGTTGGGATCTGTTTGGGATCCATAGTGGGATCCATGTTGGGATCCAAAGTCGGATCCGTGTTGGGATCCATAGTGAGATCTGTGTTGGGATCCATAATGGGCCCCACATGGGGATCCACATTGAGACCCAAATTTGGACCCGTGTTGGGATCCACACTGGGATCTGTGTGGGGATACGTTAGGATCCACATTGGGATCCACATTGGGAACCCTCTGGGCACCATGTGGGGATCCATGTTGAGATCTATGTTGGGATCCACACTGAGATCCATATTGGGATCCACATTGAGATCCTTATTAGGATCCACATTGAGATCAGTGCTGGGACCCACGTTGGGATCCATATTGGGATCCATGTTGAGACCTACATAGTGATCTACCTTGGGATCCATACTGGGATCCATGTTGGGATCTATGTTGAGATCCACATTGGGATCCACGTTGAGGTCCATGTTAGGATCCATGTTGAGATCAATACTGGGATCCACGTTGGCATCCATGTTGAGACCTACATAGCGATCTACCTTGGGATCCATGTTGGGATCCATACTGGGATCCATGTTGAGACCTACATAGGGATCTACCTTGGGATCCATGTTGGGACCTATGTTGGGATCCACATTGAGATCCATGTTACGATCCATGTTGAGATCAATACTGGGATCCACGTCCAGACCTAGATAGCGATCTACCTTGGGATCCCCATTGGGATCCACGTTGCGACCTCCATCGCGATCTACCTTGGGATCCCCATTGGGATCCCCGTTGCGACCTCCATCGCAATCTACCCTGGGATCCCCATTGGGATCCATGTTGAGACCTCCATTGCCATCTACCCTGGGATCCCCATTGGGATCCACGTTGCGACCTCCATCGCGATCTTCCCTGGGATCCCTATTGGGATCCACGTTGCGACCTCCATCACGATCTACCTTGGGATCCCCATTGGGATCCACGTTGCGACCTCCATCGCGATCAACCTTGGGATCCCCATTGGGATCCATGTTGAGACCTCCATCACGATCTACCCTGGGATCCCCATTGGGATCCGTGTTGCGACCTCCATTGCGATCTACCCTGGGATCCCCATTGGGATCCCCGTTGCGACCTCCATCACAATCTACCTTGGGATCCATGTTGGGATCCCCGTTGCGACCTACATCGCCATCTACCTTGGGATCCATGTTGGGATCCATGTTGAGACCTCCATCACGATCTACCCTGGGATCCCCATTGGGATCCATGTTGAGACCTCCATCACAATCTGCCGTGGGATCCACGTTGGGATCCCCGTTGCGACCTCCATCGCAATCTACCTTGGGATCCCCATTGGGATCCCCGTTGCGACCTCCATCGCGATCTTCCCTGGGATCCCCATTGGGATCCACATTGCGATCTCCATCGCGATCTACCTTGGGATCCATGTTGGGATCCCCGATTCGACCTCCATCGCCATCTACCTTGGGATCCCCATTGGGATCCACGCTGCGACCTCCATCACAATCTACCTTGGGATCCTCATTGGGATCCACGTTGCGACCTCCATCGCCATCTACCTTGGGATCCCCATTGGGATCCACGTTGCGACCTCCATTGCCATCTACCTTGGGATCCATGTTGGGATCCATGTTGAGACCTCCATCGCCATCTACCTTGGGATCCCCATTGGGATCCCCGTTGCGACCTCCATCGCCATCTACCTTGGGATCCCCATTGGGATCCCCGTTGCGACCTCCATCGCCATCTACCTTGGGATCCATGTTGGGATCCATGTTGAGACCTCCATCGCCATCTACCTTGGGATCCCCACTGGGATCCCCGTTGCGACCTCCATCGCCATCTACCTTGGGATCCATGTTGGGATCCATGTTGAGACCTCCATCGCCATCTACCTTGGGATCCCCACTGGGATCCCCGTTGCGACCTCCATCGCCATCTACCTTGGGATCCCCATTGGGATCCCTGTTGCGACCTCCATCGCCATCTACCTTGGGATCCCCATTGGGATCCCCATTGCGACCTCCATCACGATCTACCTTGGGATCCCCATTGGGATCCATGTTGCGACCTCCATCGCGATCTACCTTGGGATCCCCCTGGGATCCCTGTTGCGACCTCCATCGCCATCTACCTTGGGATCCCCATTGGGATCCCCGTTGCGACCTCCATCACAATCTACCTTGGGATCCCCATTGGGATCCATGTTGAGACCTCCATTGCGATCTACCCTGGGATCCCCATTGGGATCCATGTTGCGACCTCCATCACGATCTTCCCTGGGATCTCCATTGGGATCCCCGTTGCGACCTCCATCGCCATCTACCTTGGGATCCCCATTGGGATCCCCGTTGCGACCTCCATCGCCATCTACCTTGGGATCCCCATTGGGATCCATGTTGCGACCTCCATCGCAATCTTCCCTGGGATCTCCATTGGGATCCCCGTTGCGATCCCTGTTGCGACCTCCATCGCCATCTACCTTGGGATCCATGTTGGGATCCCCGTTGCGACCTCCATCGCCATCTACCTTGGGATCCCCATTGGGATCCCTGTTGCGACCTCCATCGCCATCTACCTTGGGATCCCCATTGGGATCCCCATTGCGACCTCCATCACGATCTACCTTGGGATCCCCATTGGGATCCATGTTGCGACCTCCATCGCGATCTACCCTGGGATCCCCATTGGGACCCCTGTTGCGACCTCCATCGCCATCTACCTTGGGATCCCCATTGGGATCCCCGTTGCGACCTCCATCGCGATCTACCTTGGGATCCCCATTGGGATCCCCGTTGCGACCTCCATCGCGATCTACCTTGGGATCCCCATTGGGATCCCTGTTGCGACCTCCATCGCGATCTACCTTGGGATCCCCATTGGGATCCACATTGCGATCTCCATCGCCATCTACCTTGGGATCCCCATTGGGATCCACATTGCGACCTCCATCGCGATCTACCTTGGGATCCCCATTGGGATCCACATTGCGACCTCCATCGCGATCTACCCTGGGATCCCCATTGGGATCCCCGTTGCGACCTCCATCGCGATCTACCTTGGGATCCCCATTGGGATCCACGTTGCGACCTCCATCGCGATCTACCTTGGGATCCCCATTGGGATCCACATTGCGACCTCCATCGCGATCTACCCTGGGATCCCCATTGGGATCCACATTGCGACCTCCATCGCGATCTACCCTGGGATCCCCATTGGGATCCACGTTGCGACCTCCATCGCGATCTACCTTGGGATCCCCATTGGGATCCACGTTGCGACCTCCATCGCGATCTACCTTGGGATCCCCATTGGGATCCATGTTGCGACCTCCATCGCGATCTACCCTGGGATCCGCATTGGGATCCACGTTGCGACCTCCATCGCGATCTACCTTGGGATCCCCATTGGGATCCATGTTGAGACCTCCATCGCGATCTACCTTGGGATCCGCATTGGGATCCACGTTGCGACCTCCATCGCGATCTACCTTGGGATCCCCGTTGGGATCCATGTTGCGACCTCCATCGCGATCAACCTTGGGATCCCCATTGGGATCCATGTTGCGACCTCCATTGCGATCTACCCTGGGATCCCCATTGGGATCCATGTTGCGACCTCCATCGCGATCTTCCCTGGGATCCCCATTGGGATCCACGTTGTGACCTCCATCGCCATCTACCTTGGGATCCCCATTGGGATCCGCGTTGCGACCTTCATCGCCATCTACCTTGGGATCCCCATTGGGATCCATGTTGAGACCTCCATCGCCATCTACCTTGGGATCCATGTTGGGATCCCCGTTGCGACCTCCATCACAATCTACCTTGGGATCCCCATTGGGATCCATGTTGAGACCTCCATTGCGATCTACCTTGGGATCCCCATTGGGATCCCCTTTCGACCTCCATCGCCATCTACCCTGGGATCCCCATTGGGATCCACGTTGCGACCTCCATCGCGATCTACCTTGGGATCCCCATTGGGATCCCCTTTCGACCTCCATCGCCATCTACCTTGGGATCCCCGTTGGGATCCACGCTGCGACCTCCATTGCCATCTACCTTGGGATCCCCATTGGGATCTGCGTTGCGACCTCCATCGCCATCTACCTTGGGATCCACGTTGGGATCCACGTTGCGACCTCCATCACCATCTACCCTGGGATCCCCATTGGGATCCCCGTTGCGACCTCCATCGCCATCTACCTTGGGATCCCCATTGGGATCCCCGTTGCGACCTCCATCGCCATCTACCTTGGGATCCCCATTGGGATCCATGTTGCGACCTCCATCGCCATCTACCTTGGGATCCCCATTGGGATCCATGTTGTGACCTCCATCGCCATCTACCTTGGGATCCACGTTGGGATCCCCGTTGCGACCTCCATCACGATCTACCCTGGGATCCCCATTGGGATCCACGCTGCGACCTCCATCGCCATCTACCTTGGGATCCCCATTGGGATCCATGTTGGACCTCCATCGCCATCTTCCCTGGGATCCCCGTGTCCCGCCCCCTCCCCCGCTCACTCACCCGCTCCCCCCGCCGCCTCCTGGCCGCTCTCCCGCCGTTCCTCCGCGCCGCCGCCCCCCCGCAGGGCGTCCCGCACGCGGCGCCGGTTCTCGTCCTCCATGCCGCTCAAGGTGAGGCCCTGCACCCAGCGCCCGTCTGCGCTCAGCCGCACCGCGCAGCACCGCAGCCGCCGCCAGCACGGCGAGCCCGGCCCCGGCACGCGGCCCCCCGGCGCCACCTCCACGGCGAAGGCGGACAGCGCCCCCTGCAGGCGCCGCGCGGCGCGGCGGGCGGCCGCGGGGTCGGAGGCCGTGAGCACCGCGGCGGGGCCGCGCACGTCGTAACGCGCGGCGCCTGCAGGGGGCGCCGCCAGCAGGGCCGACAGCCGAGCGCGGACGTCGGGGCGCCGCAGGAACCGCAGCGTCGCTCCCGGCAGCAGCACGCGCTCCTGGGCCTCCGGCGCCGGGCCGGGATCCCGGGCCGCTCCGCCCGCCGGCACCGCGGGGTCGTCGGCCGTCCTCCCCGGAGGGGCCGCGGGGTCCCGGGTCGCCCGCGGTGCCGCCGGGGGGCTCTGGGTCATCGGCGGGGTCGCCGCGGGGTCCCGGATCGTCCTCCCCGGTGTCCCTGCAGCGGCTCCGTCGCTCCGCCGTGGCGGCGCCGGGCGGCTGCGGTTCCCCGCCGGCGTCACCACGGGGTCTCGGGTCGCCCCTTCCGGTGTCACCGGGGGATCCCGCGTCACCCAGGGCGGCGTCGCCGGAGAGTCCGCGGCCGGCAGCTCCGCGCTCAGCTGCGAGGCGTCGGCGGGGGCCGGATCTGATGGCTCTGCAGCGCCCCGGGCCGGGTCTGTTTCATGTCCCGGTACCGGATCTGCTCCGTGCCCCGGTACCGGATCTGCTCCATCTCTCGGTACCGGATCTGCTCCATGTCCCGGTACCGGATCTGCTCCGTGTCCCGGTACCGGATCTGCTCCATGTCCAGGTACCGGATCTGCTCCATCTCTCAGTACCGGATCTCCTCCATCTCTTGGTACCGGATCTCCTCCATCTCTCAGTACCGGATCTCCTCCATCTCTTGGTACCGGATCTCCTCCATCTCTCAGTACCGGATCTGCTCCATCTCTCAGTACCGGATCTCCTCCATCTCTTGGTACCGGATCTCCTCCATCTCTCAGTACCGGATCTGCTCCATCTCTCAGTACCGGATCTCCTCCATCTCTTGGTACCGGATCTCCTCCATCTCTCAGTACCGGATCTGCTCCATCCCACGTTGCCAGATCTCCTCCATCCCCCATTGCCGGATCTCCTCCATCATCCCCCGGTGCCGGGTCGTCGCCGCCCGGTCCCAGGCCCGGGTAGCAGGGCAGCAGGCGCAGCTCCACGTCGTGCAGCCGATGCGTCCGGCGCAGCACCCGCGGCACCACTGCGGGGAGGGCGGCCGCTGAACCGGCGCCGCCTGCGGCTCGGAGCCCCCCGGCCCCAAATGAACGGGGCGGCACCACGGTGGGGGCGGGGACAACGGGAGCCCCTGGTGGTGATGGCGGGACCCCCAAAGCCGGGCAGCGGCACCGGGACCCCACAGTGGTGACAATGGGACCCCCAGGGATGATGGCGGGACCCCCAAAGCCGGGCAGGGGCACCAGGAGCCCCGATGCCACAGAGGTGACAGTGGGACCCCAAAGTGCGGTGGGGACATCGGGACCCCCAAAGCCGGGCAGGGACACCGGGACCCCACAGTGGTGACAACGGGACCCCCAGGGATGATGGCGGGACCCCCAAAGCCGACGCAGCGGCACCGGGACCCCCTGGTGGTGATGGCGGGACCCCCAAAGCCAGAGCCCCGATGCCACAGAGGTGACAGCGGGACCCCAAAGTGGGGTGGGGGCAGCGGGACCCCCAAAGCACGGCACTGAAAGAGGGACCCCCAAACTGGGACCCCCAAATGATGCCAATGACCCTGGGACCCCCAAAGTGGGACCACCAAACCTGGACCCCCAAACTGGGACCCCAAATTGTGCTAGTGACAGCAGGACCCCCAAACCGGGACCCCCAGTGGGGCCAGTGACACCAAGACCCCCAAACCGGGACCCCCAAACTGGGACCCCTAAACCGGGACCCCCAACTGGGCCCAATGACCCCGGGACTCCCAAACCGGGACCCCCAAATGGGGCCAATGACCCCAGGACCCCCAAACTGGGACCCCAAACTGGGACCCCCAAACCGGGACCCCAATTGGGGTCAATGACCCCAAGACCCCCAAACCGGGACCCCCAAACCGGGACCCCCAATTGGGGCTAATGACCCCAAGACCCCCAAACTGGGACCCCCAAATGATGCCAATGACCCCGGGACCCCCAAACCGGGACCCCAAACCGGGACCCCCAAACCGGGACCCCCAATTGGGGCCAATGACCCCAAGACCCCCAAACCGGGACCCCCAAACCGGGACCCCCAATTGGGGCTAATGACCCCAAGACCCCCAAACTGGGACCCCCAAACCGGGACCCCCAACTGGGCCCAATGACCCCGGGACTCCCAAACCGGGACCCCCAATTGGGGCCAATGACCCCGGGACCCCCAAACCGGGACCCCCAAACCGGGACCCCCAAACCAGGACCCCAATTGGGGCCAATGACCCCAAGACCCCCAAACTGGGACCCCGAAACTGGGGCCCCCCAAGTGCGACCCCCTAAACTGGGACCCCAAATTGTGCTGGTGACAGCAGGACCCCCATACCAGGACCCTCAAACCAGGAGCCCCAAACCGGGACCCCCAAACCGGGACCCCCAAATGGGGCCAATGACCCCAAGACCCCCAAGCTGGGACCCCCAAACCGGGACCCCCAAATTAAGGCAGTGACACCAGGACCCCCCGCTGGTGATGCTGGGACCCCCAAACCTGGGCAGGGGCACCAGGAGCCCCGATGCCACAGAGGTGACAGCGGGACCCCAAAGTGGGGTGGGGACAGAGGGACCCCCAAAGCCAGGCGGGGACACCGGGACCCCACAGTGGTGACAGCGGGACCCCCAAATTATGGCGGTGACACCGGGACCCCCTGGTGGTGATGGCGGGACCCCCAAAGCCAGAGCCCCGATACCACAGAGGTGACAGCGGGACCCCAAAGTGGGGTGGGGACAGAGGGACCCCCAAAGGACGGCGGTGACAGAGGGACCCCCAAAGCAGGACCCCCAATTGGGCCAATGACACCAGGACCTCAAAACTGAGACCCCCAAACCGGGACCCCCAAAGCGGGACCCCCAAAGCGGGACCTCAATTGGGGCCAATGACCCCAGGACCCCCAAACCGGGACCCCCAAACCGGGACCCCCAAACTAGGACCCCCAATTGGGGCCAATGACCCCAAGACCCCCAAACTGGGACCCCCAAATGATGCCAATGACCCCGGGACCTCCAAACCGGGACCCCCAAACCAGGACCCCCAAACCGGGACCCCCAATTGGGGCCAATGACCCCAAGACCCCCAAACCGGGAGCCCCAAACCGGGACCCCAAACCGGGACCCCCAAATGGGGCCAATGACCCCAGGACCCCCAAACCGGGACCCCCAAACCGGGACCCCCAAATGGGGCCAATGACCCCAGGACCCCCAAACCGGGACCCCCAAACCGGGACCCCAAACCGGGACCCCCAAATGGGGCCAATGACCCCAAGACCCCCAAGCTGGGACCCCCAAACCGGGACCCCCAAACCGGGACCCCCAAACCTGGGCAGTGACACCAGGAGCCCCAATGCCACAGAGGTGACAGCGGGACCCCAAACTGCAGTGGGGACAGAGGGACCCCCAAAGCCAGGCGGGGACACCGGGACCCCACAGTGGTGACACCGGGACCCCCAAATTATGGCGGTGACACCGGGACCCCCTGGTGGTGATGGCGGGACCCCCAAAGCCAGAGCCCCGATACCACAGAGGTGACAGCGGGACCCCAAACTGCGGTGGGGGCAGCGGGACCCCCAAAGGACGGCAGTGACAGAAGGACCCCCAAAGCAGGACCCCCAATTGGGCCAATGACACCAGGACCCCAAAACTGAGACCCCCAAACCGGGACCCCCAAAGCGAGACCCCCAAAGCGGGACCTCAATTGGGGCCAATGACCCCAAGACCCCCATACCGGGACCCCCAAACCGGGACCCCAAAATGGGGCCAATGACCCCAAGACCCCCAAACCAGGACCCCCAAACTAGGACCCCCAATTGGGTCCAATGACCCCAGGACCCCCAAGTTGTGCTGGTGACCCTGGGACCCCCAAACCGGGACCCCAAAATGGGCCCAATGACCCTGGGATCCCCAAACTGGGACCCCCAGTGGGGCCAATGACCCCAAGACCCCCAAACCGGGACCCCCAAACCGGGACCCCAAACCGGGACCCCAAACCGGGACCCCCAACTGGGCCCAATGACCCCGAGACCCCCAAAATGGGACCCCCAATTGGGGCCAATGATCCCAGGACCCCCAAACTGGGACCCCAAACCGGGACCCCAAACCGGGACCCCCAATTGGGGCCAATGACCCCAAGACCCCCAAGCTGGGACCCCCAAATGATTCCAATGACCCCGGGACCCCCAAACCGGGACCCCCAAACCGGGACCCCCAAATGGGGCCAATGACCCCGGGACCCCCAAACCGGGACCCCCAAACCGGGACCCCAATTGGGGCCAATGACCCCAAGACCCCCAAACCGGGACCCCAAACCGGGACCCCAAACCGGGACCCCCAAACTGGGACCCCAAATGGGGCCAATGACCCTGGGACCCCCAAACTGGGACCCCCAAACCGGGACCCCCAAATGGGGCCAATGACCCCAAGACCCCCAAACCGGGACCCCCAAACTGGGACCCCCAAACCGGGACCCCCAACTGGGCCCAATGACCCCGGGACCCCCAAACCGGGACCCCCAAACCGGGACCCCAATTGGGGCCAATGACCCCAGGACCCGCAGCGGGGCCCCCTGCCGTTGTTGCCATGGGAGCCCCGTTTGCGGCCGCGGTTTTTCTCACCGCCGGGGTCGCGGAAGGTGACGATGGCGCCTCCGTCGCTGCGCCGCCTCACGGCCGCCACTTTTCCGCCGGCGCTGCGGCGGTTCTCGAAGTAAAGCTGCAGCAGCTCCAGCGGCGCCGCCGGCGGCTCCACCCGCACCGAGCCCGAGAGCGGCAGCAGCCGCAGCGCCGCGCAGCCGGGGAGCGACGAGCGCAGCCCGCGCAGCTCTGCGGGAACGGAGGGAAGGGGGAAGCGCGCGCGTGGGGCACGGAGCGCAGCCGTGGGGCAGCCATGCGGAGCTATGGGGCACCCAACGCAGCCGTGGGGCAGCCATGCTGAGCTATGGAGCGTATAGTGCTGAGCTATGGGGCAGCCATGCTGAGCTATGGGGCGCACAGTGCTGAGCTATGGGGCAGCCAGTGCGGAGCGATGGGGCAGCCAACGCAGCTATGGGGCACACAATGCTGAGCTATGGGGCAGCCAACGCAGCTATGGGGCAGCCAGTGCTGAGCTATGGGGCACAAAACGCAGCTATGGGGCAGCCATGCTGAGCTATGGGGCGCACAGTGCTGAGCTATGGGGCACGAAACGCAGCTATGGGGCAGCCAGTGCTGAGCTATGGGGCACCCAACGCAGCTATGGGGCAGCCATGCTGAGCTATGGGGCACCCAACTCAGCTATGGGGCACGAAACGCAGCTATGGGGCAGCCATGCTGAGCTATGGGGCACCCAACGCAGCCGTGGGGCAGCCATGCTGAGCTATGGGGCACCCAATTCAGCTATGGGGCAGCCATGCTGAGCTATGGGGCAGCCATGCTGAGCTATGGGGCGCACAGGGCTGAGCTATGGGGCAGCCAGTGCTGAGCTATGGGGCAGCCATGCTGAGCTATGGGGCACCCAACGCAGCCGTGGGGCAGCCATGCTGAGCTATGGGGCACCCAATTCAGCTATGGGGCGCACAGGGCTGAGCTATGGGGCAGCCAACGCAGCTATGGGGCAGCCATGCTGAGCTATGGGGCACGAAACGCAGCTATGGGGCAGCCATGCTGAGCTATGGGGCACAAAACGCAGCTATGGGGCAGCCATGCTGAGCTATGGGGCACGAAACGCAGCTATGGGGCAGCCATGCTGAGCTATGGGGCAGCCAACGCAGCTATGGGGCAGCCATGCTGAGCTATGGGGCACAAAACGCAGCTATGGGGCAGCCATGCTGAGCTATGGGGCACAAAACGCAGCTATGGGGCAGCCATGCTGAGCTATGGGGCACCCAACGCAGCTATGGGGCAGCCAGTGCTGAGCTATGGGGCACCCAACGCAGCCGTGGGGCAGCCATGCTGAGCTATGGGGCACACAGTGCTGAGCTATGGGGCAGCCATGCTGAGCTATGGGGCGCACAGGGCTGAGCTATGGGGCAGCCATGCTGAGCTATGGGGCACGGAGCGCAGCTGTGGGGCAGCCATGCTGAGCTATGGGGCACACAGGGCTGAGCTATGGGGCGCACAGGGCTGAGCTATGGGGCACCCAACGCAGCTATGGGGCACCCAACGCAGCTATGGGGCGCACAATGCTGAGCTATGGGGCACCCAACGCAGCTATGGGGCAGCCATGCTGAGCTATGGGGCGCATAGGGCTGAGCTATGGGGCACCCAACGCAGCTATGGGGCAGCCATGCTGAGCTATGGGGCACACAGGGCTGAGCTATGGGGCACCCAACGCAGCTATGGGGCAGCCATGCTGAGCTATGGGGCGCACAGGGCTGAGCTATGGGGCACCCAACGCAGCTATGGGGCAGCCATGCTGAGCTATGGGGCACACAGGGCTGAGCTATGGGGCACCCAACGCAGCTATGGGGCAGCCATGCTGAGCTATGGGGCACACAGGGCTGAGCTATGGGGCAGCCAGTGCTGAGCTATGGGGCGCACAGTGCTGAGCTATGGGGCGCACAGGGCTGAGCTATGGGGCACCCAACGCAGCTATGGGGCGCACAGGGCTGAGCTATGGGGCGCACAGGGCTGAGCTATGGGGCACCCAACGCAGCTATGGGGCGCACAGGGCTGAGCTATGGGGCACCCAACGCAGCTATGGGGCGCACAGGGCTGAGCTATGGGGCACCCAACGCAGCTATGGGGCAGCCATGCTGAGCTATGGGGCACCCAATTCAGCTATGGGGCAGCCATGCTGAGCTATGGGGCAGCCAGGGCTGAGCTATGGGGCACCCAACTCAGCTATGGGGCAGCCATGCTGAGCTATGCGGCACACAGGGCTGAGCTATGGGGCACCCAACGCAGCTGTGGGGCAGCCATGCTGAGCTATGGAGCGTATAGTGCTGACCTATGGGGCAGCCATGCTGAGCTATGGGGCGCACAGTGCTGACCTATGGGGCAGCCAGTGCTGAGCTATGGGGCAGCCAAGCTGAGCTATGGGGCACCCAACGCAGCTATGGGGCACAAAACGCAGCTATGGGGCAGCCATGCTGAGCTATGGGGCGCACAGGGCTGAGCTATGGGGCACGAAACGCAGCTATGGGGCAGCCATGCTGAGCTATGGGGCACACAGGGCTGAGCTATGGGGCAGCCATGCTGAGCGATGGGGCACCCAACTCAGCTATGGGGCAGCCAGTGCTGAGCTATGGGGCACAAAACGCAGCTATGGGGCAGCCATGCTGAGCTATGGGGCACAAAACGCAGCTATGGGGCAGCCATGCTGAGCTATGGGGCGCACAGTGCTGAGCTATGGGGCAGCCATGCTGAGCTATGGGGCACCCAACGCAGCCGTGGGGCAGCCATGCTGAGCTATGGGGCGCATAGTGCTGAGCTATGGGGCGCACAGTGCAGAGCTATGGGGCAGCCATGCTGAGCTATGGGGCACACAGGGCTGAGCTATGGGGCACCCAACGCAGCTATGGGGCAGCCATGCTGAGCTATGGGGCACACAGGGCTGAGCTATGGGGCAGCCATGCTGAGCTATGGGGCACACAGTGCTGAGCTATGGGGCAGCCATGCTGAGCTATGGGGCGCATAGTGCTGAGCCATGGGGCGCATAGGGCTGAGCTATGGGGCACCCAACGCAGCTATGGGGCGCACAATGCTGAGCTATGGGGCACCCAACGCAGATATGGGGCAGCCATGCTGAGCTATGGGGCAGCAAGTGCTGAGCTATGGGGCACCCAACGCAGCTATGGGGCAGCCATGCTGAGCTATGGGGCAGCCATGCTGAGCTATGGGGCAGCCAGTACTGAGCTATGGGGCACCCAACGCAGCTATGGGGCAGCCAGTGCTGAGCTATGGGGCAGCCATGCTGAGCTATGGGGCACATAGTGCTGAGCTATGGGGCGCACAGGGCTGAGCTATGGGGCACCCAACGCAGCTATGGGGCAGCCATGCTGAGCTATGGGGCACCCAACGCAGCTATGGGGCAGCCATGCTGAGCTATGGGGCACCCAACGCAGCTATGGGGCAGCCATGCTGAGCTATGGGGCAGCCAGGGCTGAGCGATGGGGCAGCCATGCTGAGCTATGGGGCAGCCAGGGCTGAGCTATGGGGCACGAAACGCAGCTATGGGGCAGCCATGCTGAGCTATGGGGTGCACAGGGCTGAGCTATGGGGCACGAAACGCAGCTATGGGGCAGCCATGCTGAGCTATGGGGCGCACAGTGCTGAGCTATGGGGCACGAAACGCAGCTATGGGGCAGCCATGCTGAGCTATGGGGCACCCAACGCAGCTATGGGGCAGCCATGCTGAGCTATGGGGCAGCCAGGGCTGAGCTATGGGGCACGAAACGCAGCTATGGGGCAGCCATGCTGAGCTATGGGGCGCATAGGGCTGAGCTATGGGGCACACAGTGCTGAGCTATGGGGCAGCCATGCTGAGCTATGGGGCACCCAACGCAGCTATGGGGCAGCCATGCTGAGCTATGGGGCAGCCAGGGCTGAGCTATGGGGCACCCAACTCAGCTATGGGGCAGCCATGCTGAGCTATGGGGCGCACAGGGCTGAGCTATGGGGCACCCAACGCAGCTATGGGGCAGCCATGCTGAGCTATGGGGCACCCAACGCAGCTATGGGGCGCACAATGCTGAGCTATGGGGCACCCAACGCAGCTATGGGGCAGCCATGCTGAGCTATGGGGCAGCCAGTGCTGAGCTATGGGGCACCCAACGCAGCTATGGGGCAGCCAGTGCTGAGCTATGGGGCACCCAACGCAGCTATGGGGCAGCCAGTGCTGAGCTATGGGGCGCATAGTGCTGAGCTATGGGGCGCACAGGGCTGAGCTATGGGGAACCCAATTCAGCTATGGGGCAGCCATGCTGAGCTATGGGGCACCCAACGCAGCCGTGGGGCAGCCATGCTGAGCTATGGGGCACCCAACTCAGCTATGGGGCACGAAACGCAGCCGTGGGGCAGCCATGCTGAGCTATGGGGCGCATAGGGCTGAGCTATGGGGCACACAGTGCTGAGCTATGGGGCAGCCATGCTGAGCTATGGGGCGCATAGTGCTGAGCCATGGGGCGCATAGGGCTGAGCTATGGGGCACCCAACGCAGCTATGGGGCGCACAATGCTGAGCTATGGGGCACCCAACGCAGATATGGGGCAGCCATGCTGAGCTATGGGGCAGCCAGTGCTGAGCTATGGGGCGCATAGTGCTGAGCTATGGGGCAGCCAGTGCTGAGCTATGGGGCGCACAGGGCTGAGCTATGGGGCACCCAACGCAGCTATGGGGCAGCCATGCTGAGCTATGGGGCACCCAACGCAGCTATGGGGCAGCCATGCTGAGCTATGGGGCAGCCAGTGCTGAGCTATGGGGCACAAAACGCAGCCGTGGGGCAGCCATGCTGAGCTATGGGGCACACAGTGCTGAGCTATGGGGCAGCCATGCTGAGCTATGGGGCGCATAGTGCTGAGCTATGGGGCACCCAACTCAGCTATGGGGCACCCAACGCAGCTATGGGGCAGCCATGCTGAGCTATGGGGCGCACAGGGCTGAGCTATGGGGCAGCCAGTGCTGAGCGATGGGGCACCCAACTCAGCTATGGGGCAGCCAGTGCTGAGCTATGGGGCACAAAACGCAGCTATGGGGCAGCCATGCTGAGCTATGGGGCACACAGGGCTGAGCTATGGGGCAGCCATGCTGAGCGATGGGGCACCCAACTCAGCTATGGGGCAGCCAGTGCTGAGCTATGGGGCACAAAACGCAGCTATGGGGCAGCCATGCTGAGCTATGGGGCG